CCTCATACATTTTACAAATATAACAATTATTATATTTTGCACATGTGAATGTTTTGTATGCATGTATGTCTGTGCATCATGTACACACAAAGCTCACAGAGGCTAGAACGGGGTGCCAGAAGCTATGGTACTAGAGTTACAGATGGTTGTGAGTCACACGTAGGTGCTGGGAACCAAACCTGGGTCCTTTAGAAGAACAGTAAGTGCTTTTAACCACCGAGCCATTTCTCCAGCTGCTGCTTCGTGTCTCTGTGCCTCATACTTCAAAATATAATACAACCACTTTGCAAATTGAATTGTTCCTTCTCTCCAGAGTTTTTTTTTGTTGTTGCTGTTGTTGTGGATAGTGGTTGTTTTAGGTGTCTGCCTAATGACTGAACTAATCTTAATTCTGTAAGCTTCTCTTCTGTGTAGTGTGTGTATTCCTGGTTGTGCTAAGAGTGGCTGTCTTTTGCATACAGTGTTTTGACCCTTTGCTTGGCTAGGTTAAGATGAGCCTTGGGCCTGGGACACTTCCATGCTTTCATCCATGGTGGATTCTGCTCCGTGCTGTGAGTTGTCAGCAGCAGCCTAAAGAGTTCCTTTCCTCTTCAGGCTCTGCTCTCAGGTAAAACTGGATCCTTGGTTTTGCCAGAGAAAAGGATCCCAGCAGGAGCTTGTATGAAGAGAAATTGGAGTTTATTAAGAAGGAGATGCTTAGATTTACAGACGGGCGTTATGAGAGAGGAGGCATTCAGGAAAGACGGAGGCATACTGAGCAATGGTGTGGGCTTCTCAAAGTGGAGCCAGGCTTCGTCTTCTATATAATTGTCATATATGCAATTTTGGTAGGTTCTGAAAGTATTAAAATGGTTGCCAAGGAATTTAAATGAGGTAACAACATAGCTCCTGAGATGCAGCAGACAAGATTATGGTGAATAAATAACTTCTTAGATCATAGGGATGCAAGAAGTTAGTGTATTTGTGTCTCCATGTATAGTATTTTTTTTGTGAGCTTCTCAGATTTATCTGGGGGAGGAGTGAAGCTCTGCCTGAGGCCGTATGCAGCCTGGCCTTAAGCATGGTTTATTGGTGGTCTAGCATTATCACCTGAAAATATTTCTATAGGAAAGGCAGTTTGTCACTATGTTATAGCAACCTACAGAGAAAATGCTACCCATACCAGAATTACTCTCAGCTGCTGAGAGTCTTCAACCAAACCCGAGTGAGGAGTAGCGCTTCCTTCTAATGACCCACAACGTCCTGTCCTCATCTTTCTGTCTTGACTCAGTTACTGCATGAAAAAGAGGCCACAGCATCCATGCCTTGCATGGGGACCCTTCTGCTCTAGAGAATTCTTCATTCTGCTTCAGTGTGTGTGTCAATGGCTTCAGACCTGCCCAGCTTTCAATGTGCAGACTCCACTAGGGAGGGACAGGACTCTGTGTGGCACAGAGGGTGATCCTGGTTAGTTGTTGGCACAGCAGGGTGATCCTGGTTAGTTGTTGGCACAACAGGGTGACTCTGGTTAGTGACTGGCACAGCAGGGTGACTCTGGTTAGTGACTGGCACAGCAGGGTGACTCTGGTTAGTTGCAGGCACAGCAGGGTGATCCTGGTTAGTTGTTGGCGCAGCAGGGTGATCCTGGTTAATTGCAGGCACAGCAGGGTGATCCTGGTTAGTTGCTGGCACAGCAGGGTGATCCTGGTTAGTTGCTGGCTCAGCAGGGTGATCCTGGTTAGTTGCTGGCTCAGCAGGGTGATCCTGGTTAGTTGCTGGCTCAGCAGGGTGACCCTGGTTGGTTGCTGGCATTGGCTGCCGGTATGGTCTCTCTGCTCCTCTCCCCGGCGTAAGCAAAGCATTTGTGACAAGTCATCCCGACCTTTTGCTTGGATGGGAAGCACCTATCCAATTAGTGAAGTGCACTATACGAATGTCTGTGAGGGGTGTTCCAGAGACCGCTAATACACTTATACCCATGGCATTCTGCCATAAGCTTAGAGCCCTTATTGGGTGATAGAGAGGGAAATCTGTTAGCACAGGCCTGCTCCCTCTCTGCCTCCTGATCACTAGGTGGTGGGCTGCTCCACACAACCCTGTCCTTCCCACTGTGCTGCACCGAAACCTCTGAAACTGTGAGTCAATATAATGTCACTTACTGATTTGTTCAGACATTTGCCACAGTGACTAGAAACCATCAGCATTGTCCTAGCCAGCCCCTGACTCTCCTGTGTGTCCCTTGAACATGTCATTAACAGCAAGCCTTGGGTATAAGTGTTTAAATTCTGCTCTTGGGTTGGGGACCACTGTATGCTGTCTGCTCATCAGTCTGGCACAGTGAGCAGGGTTACCAAGGAAACAAGTCATGGCATTGTCAAATGGTAGGTCCTTGCTCCAAGATGGGGTTAGCAGTGGGGAGTGGGTGATGGGCTGAATGAGGTGCTGGCTGTCCTTTGGCTTTGCTGGGATAAGGTGGTGAGCATAAGCTCTCATCACTTCCTAGATGATGCCTAGAGAAGGCAGAGGGGCCTGTGCAGGGAACCCCCCTGGTCTGGGTTGCTTGAGGTCCCCTAGGAAGACCTGTTTTCATACATTGATGATGAGAATGAGACTTAAAAGCAGGTCATTTTCTGAGGGAGAGATTTGACACTGAAAGAACAGATATGGACAAAAGGCCAGAGAAGCCTCACACCACAGCCTGATTGCTGCTTGTGGGATAAAGGACCATTGTTGATACAAATGTCTTAGGCTGAATGTGCTCTAAGGGATGGGGGCCAAGTGACCAGCGGTCTTCTTTCCCTGTTAAGACAGAAAGATGCAAGAAGAGGATGTAGACTTTGCTGTAGCTTTTGCAGATGCTTTCATGACAAGATTTTCTGGTCTCCCTACGAGACAATGGGAACTGGTGACATCAGGTAATTTGAGGCTAATTTGCTGACCCAGGGTGTTTTTCTGCCTGTGGTGCTTATGTGCATGTAGGCGGGGCTCTTTGGATGGTTTTCAGTGCTGGTGACTGCTGAATACATCACAGCATGGACACATTGGCTGCTTGTGGAGCATAACACCGCCAGCACCCGAGGGAACATTCCTGCTCATAGTTAAGGATTTGAGCCATAGGAGGAGGGGGGTGTGACCCACTGCCTGCCAGCCAAGCCCCCGTGGGTTAGTCAGCAAAAGCTGTGCTGTGTAGCTGGAGGGAAACAAGATGCTTCCTTTGTTTATCTCATACTTACTGAGGCAGGAATGTCACAAACAACCTTGTCACAATGGAAAGGCCACTTTAGTTCAGCAGGCTTCCAAGGCAAAAGGGCTGGTAGGGGGTTACAACAAACCCTTGACACTCGTTGAAACCCACCAATACAAATGGATGGACTCAACAGAACTGTGTCTTCAAAAGGAATTGGCACAGACAAGAGTGTCCCAGTCAGAAACTCTAGGGTTCAGGAGGCTCTACCATCAAACAGCCAGCTCACCAGGAGGGAGTGAACAACCAGATGTGGTCCAAGATTCGAGTATGTGCCCTGACGTACTGATAGTTCTGCAGAACTAAAGGCCCATGGGGCCCGCTGGACCCAGGCAGTTCCCCATCATATGCATGCATGGCCTCCCAGAATCCCAAGAATGTGCTGACCATTTTCAAAGCCTACATCCTATCTCCCGGATTTTCCTTTGGAGATTTATCATAGGTGCGTCATTGTTTGTGTTCAACGTTACCACCACCTCAGCCAGTGCTAAGCAAGACCCCCGAGTGTTTCTCAGCAAATGCACACGTGAGAAGTTGTGTATTTCTAGTCTATGAACTCTGAGTCAGGCCAAATTAAATAAAGAAACTGCTTGCCCTTATAGGTTAAAACATAGGTGGGAGGAATAAACAGAACAGAATGCTGGGAGGAAGAGGAAGTGAGGTAAGACTCTTCAGAGAGACTCCATAGCTCCTCTCAGAGACACACGCGATGAAGCTCCGATCCAGGATGGACGTAGGCTAGAATCTTCCCGGTAAGCGCACCTTGGGGTGCTTACACACATTATTAGAAATGGGCTAAATTAATATGTGAGAATTAGCCAGTAAGGGCTAGAGCTAGTGGGCCAAGCAGTGTTTAAATGAATACAGTTTGTGTGTTGTTATTTCGGGCATAAGCTAGCAGGCGGCCGGGGTGCTGGGGATGCAGCCCCGCCGCTCTTTTTACAACAGAAGGCAAACTTAAAAGCTGACCCTGCAGGGACCCAGTGAGCAGGTCACATGTTGTCATTGCACTGGGAAAGAGGCCTTGGAGTTGCTCTACCCCCTCCCTGGCTCTGGTGTTCACTGACTGCTTTTTTTTTTTTTTAAGCCAAGATTGTGGGCTTTTGATTTTCTGATCTTCCAGAAACTCCTTTCTTACATCCCATTTTTCAGTATTTTATACCCTCTCAACTTTCCTCTAAATTAAGTTTTTCCCCCCAAAAAGATGACAACCCCCATTAGCCTCTGCCCTGCTATTCACAGGCAGTTAACACCGGGACCATGGTGCTCTTCATTCTGCTTGTTTTCTTTGCCCTTCTGTTGCTGGAAGCACAGGAAAGAGGCCAGTATGAAAACGTCCTTTAGCTTTCCAGGTGTCTTCTTCAGGGTCTCCCAAGCATCACCACACGGAGTGGCCCCCATTCAGGCCTTCTCTTCCTGCTGTGATCAGTTCACCTTCCCACATTCCTGGTTGCTTCCAACACCCAGCCTGAGATAGAGCCAGAGACACATATGTCCTCACACCCCTCTTTCATGCCCAGCTCTGGAGCACATCTACTATTGGCTGCTTCCCTCCTAGTGGGAACCTGTGTGTGAACATCGATGCCTAAGCACAGCAGGGCAGCCACCCTAATCTCCATTCACCTGAACCCAGCCCTCTGCTCTTCAAGATCACTCAGACTCAGAATGAGTCTCTAGGGCACGGCCCTGACTGCCTAGGTAGTGCTCTTTCTAGCTTCTACAGCCTCGAGTAATATTGAAGAACACAAGCCATTAGTGTAGATGAAGAGCCATTTTATTTAGCGATAATCATGGGATTAATCATTCTTGATGGGAAAGGAAGAGATCGGGTTTCTTGGGGAGGCGTATCTTTTTCCAGGACAGGGGCCCTCTTCTGTGAGCCATGGGACACTGGGCAAGAAGCAGTAGACTGAGCAGCCACAGTTCTTCTCTGTTGGGAGAAGAATTCGATCAGGAGGGAGACGTGAAGCCAGTGACTCTCACTGGTATTGTTCATCATCACACTGGCCTCTGAGGGATGGAGGTATGCTGAGACCCAAGGATAAGACCTCAGCCATAAGGAGCCTGACTCTTGGTGCAGGTGTTATCTTCGGACCTGTGTGGACTTGACTGTAGTGAGTCTGTATATGTTGGCACATATGTGTAAGTATAGTGGTGTGAGACTGTGTGCATTTATCACATATATATCTGGCTCATGTGTGTGTGTATCCAACTCTTTGCAGTTGTGTTGAAGCAGCATCTGTGTCTCTCCACCTCTGTCAGCTTCGCTGTGGACCTTTGTATATATTTCTGTGTGTCACTGTGTGGATGCTTGTTTCTCTTTGGATATTGCTATAACTTGAATCTTAGACGTTCCTCTAAGGGCTCAGATGTTAGAGGTGTGGTCCCCAGGGCGGTGATGCTGGGAGACACTGGAACCAGTGGGAGTGAGGTCTTTGGGGAGCAGGAGGCCTTTAGGTGACTAGAGCTTTCCCTCAGAGGGAATTGGAATTCTACTTCTTGGTGCCTCTTGGCTACTGAATGAATGAATGGTGTCCTCCACTGAGACACACTGCCTTATCACAGTCCCAAAGCAATAGAACGATTGGTCATGAACTGGGTCTGCAAAACTGGGAGCCAAAAGAAACCCTTTTTATAAGCTGATTATCTTGGGTCTTTCATTAGAGAGATGGAAAGCTGACTAATACTGATGACATTGCCCCTAGGTCCTACTTCCTTCTAGAAGGACAATGGCCTATCCTCCAGTACTGAGGAATGTGGAACATTGCTCACCAGCTCAACGAAGGCAGATCCTCCCTTCCTGGGAGGCCTAGACTTTGATGACAAATTTTAGTCCATGGATCAGTAATTCTGGACAACAAAAACAACACAAAAGTCAGATTAGAGTCACGTTCTGGCGGTGAAGAAGTCCAGCAAGAGCTCTGGTCACCAGTCATGCTTACCATGCTCAGGTATGTGGGGAAGGCTGAGCCTCCTCCTCCTCCTCCAGATAGCCTAGCCAATCTCAGGTCAGGCTTAGATGGGGAGGCAGGCTTTACCTCAACCTCATCTGGATCATTCATGGGAACAAAGACATCCCCAAAGAGAATGGGATGAAGTCAATGAGGTCTGGTTGTCCCCTGATGTTCAGGGACAAAACTCCTTGGGGGAAACTGATGCTTCCTTGGAGTGGGAGAAGACCTGGAAACAGCACTTACCAGCAATGTCATGCACCATAGTGACATCCAGATGGCTGAGAACCGCATTGACCAGAGGACACACCTGACCCAGGCCAGAGAGTGGAATTAGATACAAGACCTCCGGCAAGGAGACCCTCAGAGAAGCAGCATGCCCAGGGTAGAATATATTCAGAAATATTTGCAACAGCCTAGAAGAAGCCAACCAATGTGTTTGGAGGGGTGGACCACAGGACAGATGGGCTGAGGGCTTGATTCACTTTTCATATATAGTTGCTCAGTTTAGTTCACTCCAGGGTTCTCTTTCAGCCCGAGAAGCTCTAAGACCCATGAGCAGGTCAGTCACTTTGATCCCTTACCTTACCCTGCACCAGGTCAGGGAGGACTTTAGTCAATATCACTGTGAGGCTGTCTAGAAAGCTTTGAAGGGGAGTGGATCTGGAAGAGAAAGGCATGCACGTGACCTAGAGGCGTGGGGGTTGGTCTGGAAAAGTCCAGCAGCCACTACGCACACTCAGTCCTGGTACCGGGCAACCGAGACCAGATCTGGCACACTCATGTCCCTGGCAGATGGAATAACAAGAATCCTAGTTGAAGAGTTACACTCAGCCAGACATGCACACATAGGTGAATGTAGAGTAAACACACATTTCAGGGAAGTAGTAGGTGCATAACAAGACTGTGAAATCCATGAATGTATGAGCAGATCTTTTTTTTTCTAATTATGGGGACTCAATGGAAAGATACACACAAAACCCAATATATGTATTTATCAAATGTGAGCCATGTTGTGGACAGGTCCTGTGTACTTTGCATGACATGCCATGTGACAGGCAACTGAAGCAAGCAATCCAAACAGGTGTTACATCTAGATAGCGCTTAGGAGGATTCTGCCAATCATCTCAATGTAGTTTTGCACTACAAGTAAATAATATGAGACAAAATTGGAGAAATGCCAGTGAAGCTCATATCCCCTGTGATAGGCGGGACTGAAATTCAAAGTATTTATGGCCGAATCCATTATAAAATTGGCCACCCTATTATAAATATGATGGCATAATAAGCAGAATAATGTTCTCTAACACCATCTACCTTACTTTTTGAGCAACTCACAGCAGTGAAATTTGCCTCTTTGTAATAACTAGATATCTTTAGATAGACTGTCGGTGAAGGTCCATGAAGTAGGCAAAACAGACAAAAAGCATTCAGGTCGCTGATGTGTACACCGCTGCTTTTTCATAGCACTAAAAATTGGCCATTCTGTGTAACAAGGGATAAGTGAACATCATGTATGCATTGGCTTACCCATCTGTCCATGTCTGTCTGTCTTTACCTTCTCTCGCCAAACACACATACGTCAGTCTACCTACCCATCCTCCTCCTCGTGTACACAACTTTCCTTTTATCCTCTTACTCATTTGTCCTCCATTGTTCTGTGATTCCACCCTGCCGTTTGTTTCTGGGTGGGAGAAGCTAGCCAACTCTTTGGCCTCACCCATTGAGCAAGATGATCTGCAGGCTGCCAGGGGAGTGGGTGCAGTCACCGAGAACCAGGTGGACCCTCCCCTGATTGTTTTTCACGGCCAAGACTTCCGAGGTGATGTTCAGCTTCACAGCCAATTCCAAAAGATTTCCAACCAGGGGCCTGCCAGAAAAGAAGGAAGTAACCCTACTGGCACCCATCCCTTTTATGCACATGGAGGGTTTCTTCTTGATAGCAGGGCCAGCCTCACCTTACCAATAGTTTTCATAGTTGTTCTTATCTCCCAAGAAGGAGAAAGCAAGGCTCAGAGAGGTCAAACTACATGGCTAAGTTTGCGCAACATAGCAGCAGCTGTGCAAGGCTGGAGGCCCAGACACTTACAGTTCACATAGCCATCAAGCTCTCCCTTTGGGAGCCACCCCCTTCCCAGCCTCCTTGAGCCCTACTCACGTTTTCACTTTGACTATGAAGCCCAGAGGGAAGGTGACATAGAGACGATGGCCATCAGGGCTCTGCACAAGGCCAAGTTCCAGCAGCTGGGGATCAGTGATTTTTATGCTGTTCAGGGGACAACATGAGAGGACAGAAATCAGTGTCTTAGTTCTGAAGCCTGGGAGCTGCTATCAGGCAGATTTACCCATCTCGAGGGGAGAGCTGGCCCCTCAAGATGAGGAAGACGGGAGTCTTTCAGTCACATCCTTCTTCCTTAAATTCTGCCTGGATTGAATGCTGACACATGAGGCCCTCTGTCCATTTCAAGTCTAGGAGGTATTTGATGAAAGAGACAGCACGTGACAACACGTAATCTTATAAAGCAAGTGGATGGTTCTGTGGGCTGGGAGGAGATGGGTAATTGGATGTGTAGAAAGGTGGAGAGAAGAGCGAGTAGTTAAGATGAAAGGAAGGGAAGATGGATGGATGGGTGGGTGGATGGATGGAGAGGTGGATGAATGGATGGATGGATAGATGGATGGATGGGTGGATGGATGGATAGATGGATGGGTGGGTGGATGAATGGATAGATGAATGGATGGGTGGATGGATGAATGGATGGATGGATGAATGGATGGATGGATGAATGGATGGATGGATGGATGGAGAGATAGATGGATAGATGGATGGATGGGTGGATGAATGGGTAGATGGATGAATGGATGGATAGATGGATGGATGGATAGATGGATGGATAGATGGATGGATGTGGATGGATGGATAGATGAATGGATGGATGGACAAATGGATAGATGGATGGATGAATGGATAGATGGATGGATGGAGAGATAGATGGATAGATGGATGAATGGGTGGATGGATGGATAGATGGATGGATGGATGGATAGATGGATGGATAGATGGATGAATGGGTAGATGGATGGATGGAGAGATAGATGGATAGATGGATGAATGGGTGGATGAATGGATAGATGGATGAATGGATGGATAGATGGATGGATGGATAGATGAATGGATGGATGGATGGATAGATGGATGGATGGATGGATGGAGAGGTGGATGGATGGATAGATGGATGGGTGGGTGGATGAATGGATAGATGGATGAATGGATGGATAGATGTATGTATGTATGTATGTATGTATGTATGGATGGATGGATGGATAGATGGATGGATAGATGAATGGATGGATGGATGGATGGATGGAGAGGTGGATGGATGGATGGATGGGTGGATGAATGGATGGGTGGATGGATGAATGGATGGGTGGATGGATGGACTGTCATAGAAGGTACATGGGCAACTAGGGTACAAACCCTGTACAGAACTTCTGGCAGAAATCACTTGTTCTATCGTAACCTGCAATAGCATATCAGCTCTCAATTATTATCACAAGGATTAAAGAGGAGAGGGTGGAAAAATGCTACATGGTGGGAGGGACCTTTCCCTGAGCCATCCATGTTGCCAGGTATTTGCCCTTCCCTGGTCTCCACATCCTTTCTGTGTGTGTATAACCCCATCTCACAGATGGAAAAATCAAGTCCAGGAGACTAGGGACCTGCTTCTGGATCATCCAGCCCAGCACAGACAGTCTTATGGCAATCAAACTGACACCTGTCTACTGTCTCCAGGTCAGGAAGCAAAGGCTTGGGAGGCTGGGAATCCTGGCAATGGCTTTGGTCTGGTCTTACTAAGAACTCAGGTTTGGGTATCTGGTTACTGGCTTTGTGTCTAGGAAGCTCTTGAGTGGCTCATGGGAAGCCCCACATCAGGTCTCAGTCACATCCCTTAGGAGATACAGTTGAGGAGGGTAGCCTAGTGACAGCCCACATTCCTCAGAAGGGATGAGCAGTGGGCAGAAAAGGCCCCAGGTTGGTGCTTGTCTGAGTTAGACTCCTGACTCTGCATCACCCTAGCTATGTGAGCACAGGCATATCTCTGTGCCTCAGTTTCTCCATCTGGGAACTGGGGATACTGGAGTTGACATGGAAGGGTTGCCGTGGGGATAATAGCTGCTCCTGGAGCCTAGGATGTGTCTTAGGACTGGGGGCAGCTACAGGTCAAAAGGGCCCCTGTTCCTTATAGAGTGGAGAGAGGCCTGGGGGTTGAGCCTTGGCTTCATGCTCAATCCCTGCCCCCTTCTCTCTCTCTGTAGGGCTGCTGCCTGGGGCTGGCAGGTATTCAGCTGTTGGTGGGAACCAAATCCCTCTTTGGGAAACTCACTCAAGGATGTTGTTCAGGAAAGGGATTGATGAAGTCAGTGTTCCAAGCAGGCCCCCAACCAGGCCATAAGAAGTGCCTCCTCCAGACTTTATAATATCCAGGAGTGGAATATTTTCCAAATTGCCCAGCAGTCCTCCAGACAGCAGGCCACCACTGAGAGCTGCAAAAGAGAAAAGGGTCCTTAGGGGTCACATCTGCTGCCTTAGGTCCTCACAGCCTCGTTCTCACTCATGCTTCCCTTCCTGGTACCGGAGGTTGAATATACGAGAGCACACATGTATAAACACAGACACCATCCACACATACCCTGTAAGAGACTGTCATAGACTCACCATCTGTGAAGCTTCCAGCAAGATGACCTGTGGGATCTGAAGGCAGGCCCTGGTTCAGAGGCAAGGACAGACCCTGGCCCAAGGGCAAGGGCAGGCCTGCCAGCTGGGCTGAACTCTGGGCCAGCAGCCCACAGAGGACAACGAGGCTCCCGACTAGAAGCATCTCTTGGTATCTGCAGAAAGAATAACAAGTCACTGTGGTATGGGTATCAGAGGATTCTCTGCACTGCCTGTCCTGTCCCCAGGTGTGAGGTTTCTTCCCCCCTGAAGCCCAGGGAGTGATAACTAGCAACAACAGCTAACACTGCCATAGTGTCGTCTGTCCCAGGCCCCAGGCTGAGCCATTCAGTCACCAGCTTCATTGTCACCACATCCTCAGACGTGGGCAAGGACAACCTCTAGTGCACAGTTGGAGCAGAGGCCCAGTGACTCCAGGCAGTCTCCCCCAGTGTCACAGGTTGCAGCAGAGAGAGGAGCTAAATTTAAGCATGCCTGACCCAGAAGCTTCTGTGTAGTTAAGTGACCTTTGGAGTTACTCTGGGGATGGGGCATGTGACTGTGGTGGCCTGACTCTCCAATGTGGATGAAGAGGCTCCAACATGGCAGAGGCTGAAGATCTGAACTGCTTGGCCATCATCTCTGCTAAGCGATGGTTCTTTGGTCTTTGGACGGTTTGGGCCATGATGGTTTGTGGATACTATCAAGAGCCATGGAATGTCCAAGGTCACATGACCATAGACAGCTTCTCAACTGTGATAGAACCTGAAGTTAAAGTTCCTTCCCTCCAGCCTTGACTTCGGGCATGTTGAGAGCCCATTGCTCCATCAATGTTGCCCTCTCTAGGAAAGGCGAGTGAACAGAGTCACTTGCCCCTGACCAAGGCCATCTTGGAAGGCCCCCAGTCAGTGACAGTACCATCTGCCAGCATGAGCTTACAGTGAGGCGCATGGCCTCTTGCTCCCCAGAACATCTGTGGAGTAGAGGAAGGGGCAGGTCTCACCTGAGTCTCGAGATCTCAGCGGCTGTCCTGGGCTTCTCTCCTATCTGCTTCTGCCCCGTAGGAATCAGCCTCTTTTATAGAATGGGAATTGAGAAACCTGATATTGGTTGATGGGCTTCGAGATAATTCCAATTTCTGCAATGTGGAAGTGTCTTTCAGGGCTCTCCAAGGTAAATAATTGTCAATCACATTAACAGGTGAGTCAGGTAAGCTGTTCAGTCCACAAATTAAACAAGAAAATTTGAGATGGAGGCTTACTCAAGACTTCATGGTTTCATGCATGAGGCAGAGGCTGAAGACCCATGCTCACAGGGCTGGAAGATCAGATGGTCAGTGTTGAAAGGACCAGTCTGTCAGCCCCTCAGGAACCTTGATCTGGCTCTAGCCTGCTGTGTGCTCTTGCCCCTTGTCCCACTCTTTTTCTACAGTTGGTAAACTCTTGTTCCCACAGTGTTAAGGGTCAAACCACATTTGCCCCCCATCTTGAACTACCCCTCAGATTCATTTGTGTGTGTGTATGAATTGGATCTTTTGTTTTTCAAGCCCCTGGTACATTGCAATCACGTGCTTGTAGGTACTCATAAGATCTTGGGACAAAAAGGTCACTACTGTTTCCTTACAGAGGAGGAACCTGGGGCCTAGTTAGCACAAGTGGTCCAGAGAGGAAGTGGTAGAGGTTGAAGTCAACTCATTGGATAATAATGGCAAGGAACCAAGGCCAGGAGTGAATACTTGCCAGGCTCCAGCCTGTGCCAGGTCCATTCATCCTGGCAAGGGGGAGTGTGGTGGGTTTCTTTAGTGAGAAACTGGGGCTTGAATCTTCCCTACACTTCTCTCCAATTTGATTTCCACATTATACTTCCCTCTTCTTGGTTCTGGAAACATCTTTCTGATACTATCATGCAGCCTCCTGATCTCTCCCTTAGCCCTAGACTTTCCTCAGATAAATAATAAAGCACTGCTCTCTACTACTTAGGACTATGAGGACTAAGAAGGGAAAATCCAAGACAGGTATAGACCAAGGTCTTGAATTGTGAGAACAACCAGGCTTTGCGATATCACAAGGGATTGCCTTGAAGTCACTATGAAGCCCAAGCTGGCCTTGAACTGATTCTCCTGCCTCAGACTCCTGAGCGCTGGGATGACAGCCCCTAAGCCGGGTCTGAGAGTAGGTCTTGCTACTAACCTTTGGGCAAATGGAGGCAGATAAGGCCTGGAAAAGATCTGAGATTGTGTATTCGGCTAATAGAAATCTTTAAAGCTAAGAGGTTGGGTATGGGTTATAGCAGAAAACAGGGAAGGTTGGGTCCTAGCTGTATACTGACCGGGGTGGGCCCCCTCCAGTTATGGAAACTTTTACCCCTTGTGTAAGATGGAGATGGCGTCACACAGCTCAGGGCTACAAGGAGAACACACTTGCAGAGTGGCCTGCATCTTGTTTGGTAGTGTAGGCATCTACACGTTCCTCCAATTTACCCAACACCTGCTATTTCTGATGGCATTTTGCTCGGTTACAGAAATGTCTTCATTTCCCTTTGAAGTCTCATTTCTGCTCCAGGGGCCTTACCTGTACTACGGTGCTCAGAGAAGGATACCTTGTCCTTGGACTTGACTGGAAAAACAGACACGTCATGGACCACTTGGCTTCCTCTGATTTAGCATTTACCATCTCCTCCTTGGACACCCAGCATAGTCTATGCCCAGACTCTCAGGCTCAGCTGCCCGTCCCCACCTAAGCTCTCTGGTTCACCGGCTCTCTTTGAGACATTCACTGTCTTGGCCCTGGGCAGGGGTGTGAGCACAGGCACCCTCTGTCCCCCACTCAGCACGTCTGTGGCGTTTCCGACATCCATCCATGCTGAGTTCTGTCTTGCGGGGAGACGGGCAGTGTATGTTGCCCTTTGGGCCCCCTGGAGCTGTGTTCTCTTCAGTTTCTCTTGCATTCCTCCCACCCCCATTCCAGGACAGGGAATTGTCCAGTCTTGAGGGTGGGCACTCCTGTTTTACACCCTTACGTGTTTACTTTCAGCTCTCTGCCCTGAGTTTTAAAAATCCCAGTTGAGGTAAACACACGAGGGTAGCATTCAGTAAAAGTGTTCTTCTTTCGGTGTGAACTTGTATGAATTCTCACCTAATACGGTTTTATGCGATCTTCATAGCAGGGGCCAGGGCATTTCGGTCTGAAACATTTCCCATCCATACTGCCCTTGCTACCCACCCATCTGCTCTCACTAACTGGGCCCGAACCCTAGACTTAGGAGACATAAAGTCCCTATTTCTGCTTCGGCTGGAATTGCTCTTTGAGGCGTTCCATGGGCTGCATGCTTGGTGTGCCAGCAGGGAAGCTCCAGAGCAGGCACAGCGGCAGGACTCACAGCTAATGTTCCAGACCCAGCTTTCTGTACCAGGTGACACCAATGAGACCAACATGCTTCAGAGAAACCACATGTCAGAGGAGACTCCCCCACTCCCCGCCCGATGGATCATATGTTGGAGCCTATACTGGTGGCGTGCGTGCATCACAGTTCTGCTTTGTTTTTTAAATTAACTACAAACAGAAGGATATAGTTTGCAGAGGCCTAAGAAAAATCTATCAGGGTGCTTTCTTAAGAAAAATGTAGCAGAGTGGTGTAGAAGACACCCCAAAGGCCATGAGTTACAGCCCAGCCCACATAGGCTCCATTTTTAAAGAGCAAAGCAGAATTTTCTTGTTAAAAGGAAACTCTATTCCAGGTTCATTCTCTAGAACTTGGGAATAGGATACACGGGGGGGGGGTAAACTTGAGAAGGATTTCAGATGAACTTGGAAACTCCAGAGGGCAGGAGGGATTGGGGGAGGGAGGAAGGGAGAGAGGGAATTTGATGAGAAAATGGGTCTTCTCAGGCCAAAGACCTCACCAGCATCAGGGACAGGCAGTGGCAAAGCCCTCTGAGGAGACACTGGGGACTTAAACCACTTATCACAATCCTTGGGTGGGGGGAACTGAGGTTCAGATAAGGCTGTGACCTGCCTGAGTTCACCTCAGCTAGAGAAAGGTGACAACAGGCTGTCATCATTTAGGGCTGTATTGTTTCAGTGGCTTTCAAGAACAAGTTTACAGAGTCTTCCTGTTCCAAACGAACTGGCTGTGGTCTCTGGAGGCCTCCTATGGGCCGTGATACCAGTGAGCACAGAGTTCCAAATCTGACAAGACACATCACCGACTGAATGATGCTGGGAAAAACGTTTCTCTCCGCATCCTTTTCTTTTTCTCTTTCTTTTCTGTTTCATTCATTTTTAAATAAAAAAAATTGTGGTACTAACTCAAGCTGAAGGCTACTCCCTTTGTGGACTTTAGAATATGAGGTATATCAATGCTAGCCATAGGGACCATGAGGGAAATCTCTAGAACATTTTCAAGGCTTGCCTTTAGTTAGGTTACCTCACCTATAACAAGGAATTAACCACAAACACCTCCCAAGGCTGTGAGAGGTTAAAGTTTGGGGAAAGTGGTGTAGCTCCAGCTACATAGCTGATTCAAAGGCTGCCTGGACACCAAAGGGCAAGGAAGGCTTAAGGCACCCAGAGGTAGGACCTGGACAAAAGTTCTGACTGTTTGGGGATAAATGTCTGCTTTATCCACCCATCACTGTGGACCCCAAGAGCACCAGAGGGGTCCATAGTCAAACAAGGTGTTCTGGGAGCAAATGTGGAAAGGCACTGTCTCTGTGAACCTTGAAACAAAGACAGGATGGAGAACACCAAGGAGCCATCTTGATGGAGACCTTGAGACAACCCCGGAGGTGCCAGGAGGAATACAGACAAAAGCCGTCCCCCAAGGAAGTGGGCAGCCTTTCGGCCTAGCCCTCCTGTGTTTGCTCTTTGACTCAAGAGCAGGAAGAACCCGGTAAGCCAAAGGCTATCAAGTGGAATGTTCAGGAACATGGCGTTTAGGGTTGCAAATCCCCGGTGAAGCGTTTCGGATTAGGGAGTTTGAATTGAGAGATGGAGACAGGAGTTCTCTGGCCCTCTTCTCAGCTCTGAGCACTTAAGACTTCCTTGTTTGAGCTTGTCAATTCTCCTGAGCTTGGATTTCATCACATCCCCCCCCCCCCCGTGAGTGGGAGGGAAGGCTGGAGGTGGGCTAGAAGGGAGGGAGGAAAGACCTGGGGGGTGGGGGTTCACAATTAAGTGTCTGAGTTTTGGAATCTTGCTGCCAGCGCGTAACTGATGGGGTTGACAGGGCTGACATGGCCAGTTCCTCTTTGTGTGAATTTAGGCGAGTGGCTCTCTCTTTCAGAATTCTCGTGTTTAAGCTAGGAGACAGTTTTGCACCTCACAGAGTCGCTGTGAGGCATTTAATGAGACGCTGAAGACTAGTCATGTGCTTATCACATGAGCTACTATTATTTACTTTTAAAGATTTCTTTTTATTTCTGTGTATGTGTGTGTATGCCATGTGTACTCTCAAGGAAACCAGAAGAGGGCACTGGATTCTCCTGGAGATGGAATTACAGGCAGTTAAGTTTGGGTGCTGGGATCTGAAACTGGGACCTCTGGAAGAGCAGTAAGAGCTCTTAACCACTGAGCCATCTTTCTAGCCATGCTGTTATTATTAATATGTGATATTGATCCTCACCTTTTGATGGATTAGGGTGGGAATCAACACTCAATCACAGAGTAGCTAGTAGGCGGATAGTTAACAATGAACTCAACGACCTTGAATAAACATTTTCCACATAGACAATGTCTTGCAAATGTTTTTTTTCATATACCCCACACACATGTGCTTCATGCTAAATATTTTATTTTAAACATTCTTAGAATATATTATGTCTTATAAAAAGGTACATACACACATAAGTGAATGAGCTTTCCACAGATGGAACACTTTTCCCCACAGCCAGCACCAGGCTGAGAAATAGACCATGACCACTTCTCTGGAAGTCCCTCCCTGTTTCCAGGCCTCCCCCTACCGTAGTTACCCTGACCTCTAGCAGTGTGCCTTTGCTTTGTTGTTTTTGTCCTGTGTCATTGGAGTTGCAACACGTGTGCTTCAGGTTGGACTTTTCTAGTGCAACTTCAGAAGGTTCACCCAAACTGTTGTGTGAAGTGGGCTGTCCTTTCCGTCAACTATTTTGTCACAGCGTGTGGCTCTGCTGCCTTCCTACCTGCCTGTCAGTCCTCTGTAGCTGATCAGGAATATTGCTGCTTTAGGGCTATTGTAAGCATGGCTACCACAACACCCTTGTCTTCTGACACCTTGTGGGGACCCTGCCACATGGCTAACCAGGTGCAAAGCTCAGTTTGACTGAACATGGCCAGTGTCCTGAAGTGTTGGTGTGGGTGTCAGCAGTGTGCTATGGGTCCTGAAAAACCGTTAGTCCCACATTGCAGGTGACAATGACCAAAGGGTGCGGGTCTTTGTCTAAGACACAGATAGTGAGTCCTCAAGTCAGGAGTCACCTACTCATCTGTGCCCCAAACCACCTTTGCTGAGCTTGCCCTCTTGCCTTCTTTTGCGTGGGTACTGAGGACACTGGTTGCCTTTACAGAGCTGAATCTGGTCTGATCCTGGGTCTCTTTTGATTTCTTGCTCTTATGCTTCCTCTGTGACCTCTGGGAGCACAGCAACAGACAGTAGGTGCTCACTAAACATCGATGAGCAAATGAGGAGTGAGACATCACTGGCCCTTCCCTGCTTTGAGCAAGGTCCCTGGCTGGCAACACCAGACTAGAGTGGGCATTCCCCACCATTACTGGGCTGGCGAGCAAACCAGGGATGTTTACACTAAAGCTCAAGGCAGGGTGGGGTTAAGAGGTGGTGGTGTACCCTCCAGGTGGGGCTGGTGTATCCTTCAGAGTTAGAGTTTATTGTTGGAGAGGACAGGATGTCTTGGAACCTGGGGGTCATGTTTCCAGGGGACAGCAGAACACCCACATTAAGAGAGACTTAGGTCTCAACCAGAAGTACCTTCTTCTGACCAACGGCAGGCAGTGGGAGGCCCCTCAAGCCTGGCACCCGAGGGGTTTGGCTGATTCAGAGTTGACCAAGATTATGAGCAGCCACCTGTTCTGAAAGGAGAAGGGGAGCCTTGGTTTCTAGGTGACCCTTCTGATCCCCAGGTCCACAGAGAAGGGAGAGTTTCCCAGTCCATCCTCCAAGGACTGGGGCCAAGAACCTTCCCATCACTCGCTCAGAATGACATCCCTGATGGATGACTTCCTGTCTTCTATTCCCAAGACGGTGGGCTCCATCAGGGCAGGGGCTGAAGCAGTCCACCTGTCTCTGGGGCAGGAGTAGTCTTGAGTTTAGATCAGAGTGTTCTCCCTACTAGACTTACAGAGTTCTTGGGGAAAGCTAGACTCTCTGGGTAGGGTACAACCTGGTTGGCAGAGGTTCCTTCTATTCTTCCAAATCTCTTGGGGGGACATTGCAATAGAGTCCCTATAGTATATTCTCACAGTATATGAGAGTTAGGGCTCCTCCCTTAGTATCTGCTGGTCCCAAAGAGACCTCCCAGGCTGGACCCCAACACTCACCCACGAGGCCTTTCAACAGCTTCACATCCAGCTGCCGGAGGATCTCACCGATCAGAGGACATACCTAGGTTCCCACCACAAAGACAATCAGTCAGGGATAGGAAGAAACTGAGGTCTCTGAGGCAAGAAGCCCCTGTACCCCTGGATTCTAGCAGGATTCAGGCAACCATTAGGAGCCTTGAACAGCACATCCATGCCCCACATCCTAAAGCCTCACAGCTCTGAGGTGGGGACTTCAGCTGCCTGTGCCGCACATGAGGATATGGGACACTTAGGGTGGCTGTCCCTTGCTTATGGTAATAATCTCATGGCAATTGGGATTTGCTGTTAGGTCCCAAAGCCCAGGGTCTCTGTTAAATTATCCAGACGTGTGCCTTGATCCTCAGACTCATGGAAGCCTGCAGGGCAGGTGGAACTCCTGGATACCTTACCTGACTTTCTACTAGGTTCGGAATAACTTTCCCCAGGCTTTCTCGGAGGTTGTGGAGAAAATGTTTCATCTTGGGTGGGACTTCCCTAGGAAAAGAGGTGGGAATTCAGGACAGAATAAATCAGTCCAGGCCACACCAACGCTGGGAGGTAGGTACTGAATACACTCTCCTATTCCAAACCCTTACTTGACCTTCTAGGGAGGTATTCTTGCTAGCCTTAGTCAATGGGGACCCAGAGAGGGGGCATGACATGGCCAAGGTCACACAGAGAGTAAGTGCTGACTCTTTGCAGGACCACGGCAGCAAAGCACTAGAGTTCATGGTCTTCCTCTTCCTTGCCAATGTCTGCTGCAGCCTAAGCTGGCACCACAGCCTGATGTTTATGAGGCAAGCATGAAAGCGTTGTGGCCCAGCACTCGGCAATTACAGGGAGAAGTCAGCACACTCCTCACCATGGTGTGTTGAGACACACAGCTGATCCACCATCCCTAGACCTCCCTGCAACTCTTGTGTCTGTCTTGCTCAACCTGGTGTCCCATTAGGCTGGGTGCCTGGCGCTAGGGACTTTTGGAGGAGTACTTGGGCATATCTTCATAAGGTGCTTAAAAAGGCCAGAAAGGCATTCTCGAAGAGATGTCGCTATGCGTAGGCACAGGAGTGTGAAGACAAGTAACCGATGGCAGAGGATAAATGGTCACAGAACCAGGCAGGGGTGAGGACAGAAGGCTCAGGAGGCTTTCCTGAATTTTTTATTCTCCTAAAAGGTTTTGGGGTGGGAACCAAGAGGAGAAACTTATTTCTGTGGTGGGTGGAAAATGGGGTGGGGTCAGTGACTACAGGGTTTCTGGGAGGGGGGCACAGGAGGAGCAAGTCCTGGTGAAGCGATGAAGTCTGCCTTGGCCTCATGAGGACACGGGGGAACGATATAAGCCACAGCTGCTCATGAGTCAGGGATGCCCCAAAAGGGCGGGAGGCCTTACTCAGTGGACATAGATGCACCGTCACTGTTGGGCTCCATGTGGCATCTGCCCATCACCAGCTCCCTCCGGCCAAACTCATCTTTCTCCAGCCAGGACTCTGCAGCAAGGCCCATGCGGGCATGCGTCTTGATGATATTAGAATTGAAGGGCCTGTGGTGAGAAAGGAGGAGGCAGAAGGGATGGAGAAGGAGGTGGGGAAGCCAGCAAGAAGAGCAGCAAAGCCAGGCACCACCCACTGTCCTCCCAACAACCGTTGTCTGCTAAAGCCTAGGTTAGTGAGTTAAGGAGAAAGCAGCCATCGACCGTGGAGACCTCTATGCTTGGTTTTCCTTTTCTGGTGCTGGAAATGGAATGCAAAACCTGGGCTGGCTAAGCGTGGGCTCTACCCCTGAACCCACTCCCGCACCCCTCCCCACTTCCAACTTGGAGTGACCTTTGAAAGTTACTTAAGGAGGTCATTTTAGTTTTGGGAAATTGAAGAGTTTAGAGTAAGCTGCTATTTTAAGAACTTTTCCATGTGGGTGCAGCTCCTGACTCCCTTACAGGAAGTTTGAGCAGGAGAGAAATGAGCAGAGGGAGAGGAAGAGTGGCTACCCCGTTCTTCCATGGGACCTTCCTGCTGGGCTCACAAATGACCCCTTCACTATGAGCGTCATCTTATCTTTGCTGCAGAAGAAGAAGCCAAGGTTCAGGGCAGAGTGACTCAGCCCAGGTCACAGTAAGTCAGTGCAGGGAGTTAGGATTTGAGTTGGGGTCCCCTGATATGCCTTTCCTAGTCTATCACCCTGCCTCACCCCACCCTGAGCTCCCAGGTCCCCAAAAAGGAGGAACAGTGCCTAAGAGACACTGCTTGTTGGGTAGGACTCACAGTCGGAATTCAACGTCAAAGTCCAGTGTGATGTTTGTCGAGAACCACTCTTTAGGCAGCGCCATCTGGATCCCATCACAGTCCAGTTGCACATTGGTGATGTTGATGCTAACCGTAGGAAAAGGAGAAGCCGCACAAAGGTGAGGGATGGCAACTCAGAAGCGAGGCCAGCCTTGGCTGCAAGGAGGGGCTGGGCGGCCAGCTTTCCCAGGGCTCCTGAAACATTCCCCACAGCTGCACAGTGCAATGCAGAGCCAGATGTTGACAGGCAGGACCCTCCATCCCAGGACACTGGGCCCCCTCTCAGACCAAGACTCCCTTCATGATAGACTGCCGTGTCATCTGTCTGGGACTCAGCAGGGAAGCTCCTCGGTGTCCCCACACTCCACCCCCACTTGCTGCCTGCAGACCACCTTGACCTACTTGAAATATGCATGAGTGTGAACACCTCCGCTGCTCACACCACCTCTTCAGTTCCTTCCTGGGCTACCTAGGCAGCCTGGGTGGCCTTCATACAGCCCCTTGTGCCCTGGTTCCTCCCTACTCTTGGAATAAGATACAAACTGTACGATAGAATGGCACTTCCAGGGCGGAACGGAGACCTGGGAAGTAGAAGGCTCAAGGGAGCAGTCTCAGTGGCTCTGGGTGGGATGTATCCAGTACTGCCATAGAAACCCCAGCTCCCAAGGGTTATCTATCCCATGTATTTACCACAGAAGCTCTGTGCAGGACTGCCAGGGTTTCTAGCATCTCCTCCAGTGGGACTATCATTGTGACTGTTTACCTGATGAGAGCCCAAGGTTTGTGAGCAGTGTAGTCTACTACTTATGCAGAGTCACAAAGCTATGCCCCACTTGAATAGAGGTTCCAGGGTCTAGTTGCAGCCCTGGCCTTGTTTGATATCCAGATGTTTATCCAGGCTCTGTTCTGTGTCCCCATTTTACAGGTGAGGTTGGAATGGCCAAACAATTTCCCCAAAGTTGGCAGCAAAGGTGGGCTTGAAGTACCGCAGACATATCTGCTACTGAGCTGTTATTGCTAACTGCCCTGCTGTGCCTCCTTAAACAGCTCCCGACAGAGGCCTCCAGCTTGCTCACATTCGGGCTTTGTGTCTTGCCTTCCTTGAGTTTGAATGCCTTCCTTCTTCAGAAGCCTTGCTCTCTGTTTTGTCCTCTGACCCAGAGGTCCCTAGAGTGCCCCCAGAGTCTAGAGAGGGATTCAAGGTCTCACCTGATCTCTTGCTGCTGCTGGAAGTTCACGCCACCAATCAGCCAGCCTACCATCCCTGGGGCCACGATCCCTGAGACATTCAGACGGTCCAGGAGTTGCATGCTCTGGATTCGGCCTTCAGCGTTGTGCTTCAGGAGGCCCTGAGCGATAACTGGGAATAGAGAAGGGATGGTGATGTTCAAATTGCTGTGTAAGAGTGGGGTACATGGAAAATAGGCCTGGTGTGAGCCCAGGGGTCCTCTTTCATCTGAGCACTTATTCATGTCTCCAAGTATCCCACAGAAAAGAAATGGGTCCATCTTAAGATGTTTCCTAGTAGAAACCATGGCTGAGGATCTCTCTGAAACAACAACACCAAAAGCAAAAACCAAATCCATCAGTTTGGATTATGATACAGAAATGGACTGCAGAGATGGCTTAGTGGTTAAGAGCATTGACTGCTCTTTCAGAGGACCTGGGGTTCAATTCCCAGCACCCATATGGCAGCTAACAACTGGCTGTAACTCTAAGATCTCTGACACCCTCACAATACATGCAGGCAAAACACCAATGCACATAAAAGTAAATAAAAGAAATTAAAAAAGAAAGTCATCTACTCTGCAGCAAAAACTATACATTCTCAAGAAATCAACTTGAGAAACTATGCTCAAAACTTTTCTAAGATTTTATGGGGCATAGAGCAAAATCTGATTAACAATACACTAAGCCTATGGGCGGGGTCTCCCATTGTGAAGAAACTCCTTTCTTCTAAATATACAGACAGATTGAATGTGGGTGTGATCAGATGTCCAGAGGAAGACTTTGAGAACAACTCAACACCCTTGAAAATTCATACGTAAGAATAGGAAAAGTCTGTCAGAAAAAGCAGTGATCCACAGAGATGCAACAATGAAAGTGTTAGGTTACAGAGGCGGCTCTCTAAGCAGGTGGAGAACAAGGGGGAGTCTTGGCTTGGCCGTTTGGTCTGGGAAGCTGACTCATGTGGGCAGAAGTGAAGTTGGTTCTTTACTTTCCATGCACAGACGCACACAGAGATAAATATCCATTGTGCGGATTAACATCCTCAGTGTGGAAGGTAAAACTAGAACAGTGTTGAAAGAGACAACTAGAGTGATTCCAGGATGTGAGGAGACCTTCAGACTCCAAACACAAACTATATCATGAGATATTGGTGATTTTGAAACTGTTCTTGTTTGGTGAAGTCAACAGGTGCCATTTGGCAGGAATACTGCCCACCTTCTGTTTTGTCTGCATATCCAATCAACCATGGATTGGAAATATCTAGAAAAATTGCCTGTGTTCTGAGCATTCCCAGTCTTTCTTCTTGCTGTTATCTATTGAATGGTCCATAACAGCTATTTGCATGTCATTTGCATAGTCTAAGATCTGATGAGTAATCTAGAGATGGTTTCAAGTGTGAGGAAGAATTTGCATCAGTTTTGTGAAACCACTGCACCATTTTATGTAAAGAGTTTGAGCATCCAAAGGTCCTAGGATCTAAGGGGAAACCTGGAACCAATCCCCATGGGTATCTAGGAACAACCGTGTTTGATATAGTGCCTTACTGGTAGTAAATACATTTAAATAAGGTCATGGGGTTGGCCCTAATTTGATAGAACTGGTATATTTGGAAGAGGAAGACATCAGGTATAATCATTCTCTGAAAGACTATGAGAGGGTGCCATCCATAAGCCAGCAAAAGAGGTCCCTCCCCAGATACCAAACATATCAGCACCTTCAACTTGAACTTCCAACTGCCAGAACTATGTGAAAAATAACCATCTGTTGTTTGACTCCACTGCCGCCTCCCCAGGTCCACCCTATCTACGGCATCTTGCTTTGGCAGCACTGACCGGTTGATTCAGGTGGATGCCCTCCAGTAGTGGGGAGATATGTTCTCTTACCATTGGGTGAGCGTACAACAACACAGCAGTTTAAAGAAGACTCCGACATTTTTAACTAAATCGAGCTTACATCTCTTCTGGAAATCTCTATCCAAGAAGAGTTCTCCCACGTGTTCTAACAGGGACATGTCCAAGGTCATTCACATGTCAATGTTGCTTACAGCAATGGGAAGATACAAACAGTTTAGGTGACAGGCCCGAGGGAGCAGTCAATTACATGGAGGCAATGAATGTGCAGCAGCCAAGGCAACTGAGATGCCAGCAGTGGAGCGAGAAGTGAAAAGCAGAGCAAGAGACCAGTCAGGGTCATATGAATTAAAACACCTCCCGCAGAGGAAGCAGGCGTGGCTTGCTGTTTTAAGACAGAGTCTTACCATGTAAGACCAGGCTGGCCTCAAACTCAGAGATTTGCCTGTTTCTGACTTTCAGGTGCTGGGATTTAAGGCATGCACAACCATGCCCTGCTGGATACAGACATAGACACACATGCTAAGTACATGGCAGTTCCTGACAAGGTCTGTAAGGGAATGGGAATAGGATAAGGGAGAAAGAGAAAATGACATAAAACAAGAGACCATATGCCATAAATTGGAAACGTGTAACTCAGATTCGATTTTGTTTACTTAAGGGAAAAGGGAAAATAAATAAATAAACAAGTAAACAAACAAATAATAAATAAATAAATGAATTGATTAGATGAGAGGCTGACCAAAGGTGGTTCAGCAGTTAGTGGTGGGGCCCAGGCTGTGCCTTCCCCACACCCTATGGACAGCAGGCCATGCCCAAGGGTAAGCTCACTTCTCGCTAGGGTAGACCTTCCATCCTTGTAGGCTGTGGTCAGTCCGGGCCAAGGCTGCTTGAGCAGGCCTGAGGGCAAGGCTAACAATGCCAGGAGGAGGACCAGGAACCTCCAGAGTGGATTCATCACAGGAGCTGGCACCTGAGCCTGCAGGTGTCAGCAAGGGTCCCGCAGAGCCAGGCAGCTGACTGTGAGTATGGCCGCCCAGATGGGCGGGCTTGTGGCTTTCTTCAGGCAGGTGGCTCCACAGCTGCCCCCAGCATGCTGTGGGAGGTGGTGCAAATGGCTCTGGCAGCTGCTCCCAGGGCTAGCTCACATGGCCAGCAGATGCAAGAGACCAGGGCTGCAGAGGCAAGCTTGGTTGCTTGGAGACGCTCACCAGAGCTACTGTTGGGTCATCCAGTAGGAGTCCTCTCCCTGACCCTGGCACAGAAGCTTCAGTGAGTGGGGATGACCAGCCCAGAACTGTCCAAATGGAATAGAACTTTCTTGTTCCCTTTTTCTTTTTTGGGGGAAAGGGGACCTCCAGAATTTATTCATCTTCTAACTGCAAAGCTATCTCCCTGAACCCTCACCTGTCTCCCTCCCCCATTGTAGGCCCTTTTTTCTACTATTTCTGCGCTTTCTACTTTTAAAGAACTTACTTAAAAGTGAGATCGTGTAGTGTTTGTCTTTCAACAACTGGCTTATTTCACATAGCAGAATAGCTTCCTGGTTTGGTCACATCATCAGAAATGGTGGCATTTTCTTCTTTGCAAAGACTTAGGAATATTCCATCCAACTACCAATAAACACTGCCTAGGTGAACATTTCTCAGATTCACCTGCCTCTGCCTCCAAAGTGCTGAGATAAAAGGCATGCACCACCACCACCTGACGATCAGATGTTTTGATATTCAACTTTGTAGTTCTTTGCAAATCCTAGATATTAACTCACCATCTGATGTGTTGTGAAAAAAAATTTTCCCTCTATTTCCATGGGATGTGTCTTTTCTCTGGTGGTGATTTCCTTTGCTGTGCAAAGGCTTTTAAATTTCATAGAATCCCATTTCCAATTGTTATGATTATTTCCTGTGCTGTCTGTCAGTGTACTGTTCGGTAAGACCTTAGTTGTGAATGCAGTTTGAATGTCTTTCCTGTGTTTTTCCTCTATCAACTTCAAAGTTTCGGGTCTTGTGTTAAGGTATTTGATCAATTTTAAATTGATGATTTTTTTTTTTTGGTGTGGTAAGTGATAGGGATTGAGTTTCTTTTCTTTCTTT